AATAAGAGTAAACTCAGGGACCCCCCCACCAATTACTGCCGCCCCATCTCTGTAGGACTGGCTTGATGCCAGGAGGAGAGAGTAGCTCTCAGGCTCCCAAAGCAGAGCCAGTGCAAAAGCAGAGATTCACCAGAAAGAGAATGTATGCTCACTACAAGGAAGAGCTTGCTAATTGTTAGTTACTAGGCCTCCTTGGAATAGGCTGCCTGGAGGGGAAGCTCCCCATCACTGGGGATGTGCAAGCAAAGGCAAAGTCATCTAATTATAGATGCAGTAGACTAAGGTTACTTCTTTTATTCCTAGGATTGGCCATTCCTGGAATACTCTAGGTGAGAAATTCAGAGCAGACTTCCCACCTGGACTGCCCCTAGGAGGCTCCAACATGGTCATCCCAGGGAGCGGGGACAAAATCACCCCCTGGGCCACTAAGCTCAGTCCTGCCCTAGAGTGGCCAAGTACCTGTGCCATTATGCCTAGCTCCCTAACTTAGTATGCCAAGAATGGGGTATAGGTGCGTCAGGTGTGCTGAGTTACTGATCCCATTAGCCCTCAGAAGCCAGCCATGAGGGGCAGAGCAAACAGCCTACTCCATTTAACTCCATATGCCGTACAAGTATTAAAATTTTCTGTATGGATTACATGGTACGAGGCATTCTTTTTCCCAGGGCATTGGGCTGGTGGGGGGGGGGGTCCTGTTTATTTTTCAACAAATTCTTTCTGATTCAGATGTAGCGCCCACCTTGAAGGAGCTCCAGGTCTGGTGGGGAACAGAAACACAAACACGATGTGATAGAACTGTAGGAAAGATAAAACAGGGAACTCCCAGAGGAGGGAGTGATTAAGTTGGCCCCCAAGAAGGCTAGGGAAGGCTTTTCAAAGGAGGAGACACTTGAGAAGGGTTTTGCAGGATACAAAGGAGTTGACCAGGGTGAGAGAAACATTTGAAGCATTATCTAAGGTGAAAACTAGCTCAGAAAAGGCCATTGGTTGGACCCTTTCTGATCCCCCCCAGATCACCTGGTCACCCCCCTTTTCTTCCAGTTCTGTTCTTTCTGATAGCTCCCAGCCCTGGGTCTCATCACACTGGCTGCCCAGAGCTCAAGGCCAACATCTATCCATTGACAAATCAAGGAGAGGGAAAACTTCAAGTCAAATGAACAAAGGAAGCAGGCCCCACTCCATACTGCCAGCCAGACCCCAGTCCTAGTCATAGCCCTATTTCTGGAGCAGATGCTCTTTTTTTTTTTTTTTTAAGATTTTTTTATTATTATTTATTTATTCATGAGAGACAGAGGGAGAGAGAGAGAGAGAGAAGCAGAGGGAGAAGCAGGCTCCCAAGGAGCAGGGAGCCCAATGCGGGACTCGATCCCAGGACCCTGGGATCATGACCTGAGCTGAAGGCAGACGCTTAACGACTGAGCCACCCAGGCGCCCAGGAGCAGATGCTCTTTATAGGGAGGCAGGAAGCTGAGCTGAGTGGGGGCCTTCAGAGCTCTCTCTGATGCTACTCCAAGGGTCCATGTCCAGGCCCTGCCTCTTTTCCACCTCCAGCCCCTAAGCTCTTCCTCTCCTGCCCTGCCTTCCAACCTGACAAACTCCTTTTCCTCCTCTTCCTTCTGCTCCTCACCCTTCACATTTCCCAAACCACCTTCCTATTCTTCCTCTACCTGGAGCTCTACAGTGGCCCTGAGAAGGAGGATGGGAATTATCAACCCCATTTTAGACATGGGGAAGCTGAGGCTCAGTCTCTGTGTCTCAGGTAATACAGAGTCAGTGGATGAGCGTGGAGGGTAAGAGAGGTCAGCACAGGCCTCGCGCTCTTCACTCTGATATACTACAGAGAAAACACACGTCTTTCCTCCTGGCCCAGCACGCCATACCCAGTCTGGAGGGTGCATGGCTGCCTATGGGAACGTAGTCCATACACACATATGGAACACATACACACACACACCATCAGGCCCCCATCCAGACCTGCACAGACACAGTCTCTCCCACACACACATACAGTCATGTCCCTATACACGAGTACACATAATCACATTCCCACAGAGACAGGCACAGCTCACAGTGCCACACTAAGAGGCTCCAGCACCTTCTAGCTCAGGCCTGTTCTCTCTCCATCCCTCACAAAACCCTGGGGCTCCTGAATCCGCCCCGCTATGAAGTAAGGATTGGGTTCTGGGTCCTGGGGCTGCCCAACTTCAGTGACTACAGGCCCTAGTGACCTCCACAGAAAGTGGCAGAAGGCTAATTCCTGAGACCCCAATTTGCAGGCACCTTAACCCCCAGCAGCCCAAACTGTTTGATGGACCTCACTGGAGGGCTCACTAATCCTGTAACAATAGAATCAGGATCCAAAAGAGATCCAAATGGGCCTGAGGATGAGATATCATTCCCCGACCCCGCCCCTGTGCAAGCCCTACCCCACAGTGTGTGGCCGTAGTCTCCTTGAAGTGGAAGAGCAGGGACCAGAGGATGCAGAAGAGGAAGGCGACAAGTGGACAGCAGACCGTGGCCAGGGCCACCAGGGTGAAGCGGAGCCGGACCAGGGTCCCATCCCGGTCCAGCGGCAGTGGGACCTGGTACATCTTGTCAAACCTGGGGATGAAGTAATGTGCTGTCAAGACCCAAGGCAGCAAGGTCGGGCCTCAGTGGCAAAGCCAGCCCTTGTGCTCAGTCCTCAGCTTAGCTGTGCTATGGGGTGAAGGGTCTAAGAAGAAAGCCATCTAGCCCCTAAGTTTGGACAGCTCGCACCCTGAAGAAGACTGAGAATCCCAAGAGAATAGTCATCCTCAATTTCAGAGTAAAGACAACAAACCCAATCTGTGCTAAAACGAAGCTTGAACAGATTGGGAGAACTTCTTCTCCCTTATAGCTGGCTTTACAATAGCAGCTGGTTTAACTGGTCTCTCTTGTTTCAGGAACCAACCCTAAAACTTCCCCGTGGACAGAATGGCCCATCTCCTCCCACCAGCCTTTGAACCTCCAGGCTTCAGGGCCTCCCATCAGCTCTCCCTGCTTCACCCACTGGCCCAGGGCTTTCTGTACCTTCAGTCCCTTCCCAGGCTCTGTGTGCCTGCACCCTAGCGCACAGCAGCAAGGACTCCATGGAAGCCAATAGAGCCCGGAGCCCCTGCTCGACCCTGCCTGCTGCCTCACGTGCTCTGAGGGTGAAAGGCTTTGCCGAATCAGGCCTAGTGCTAGCCTGGGCTTGCTGTTTGCTGGAAAGAGCTGCCTTGTCAGCTTCTGGAGGCTTCCCAGTACCCATAGGGCCTGTCCATCCCCCTCCAGGGATGAAGTAGAGGCTCCTGAGGATTGTGACTCCCCCTTCAGATGAGGATAGGAAGGTCAGCAACTATAATAACCAAGTACACACCAACAATCCCAGGCTCCCTCAGTGCACCGAAGGTGAAATTGAGGCCAAGAGAGGAGCAGGAACCTGCTCAGGGTCACACAAAAACTTGAAGGAAGAGCCAGCAGTGGGGAGATGTGGGGCCCACAGGGTCACAAACTACAACCCCAGCCTTCTTCGACTCCTTCCTCTCTGGGCCAGAAGTCTAGGCAGAAAGGTCAGGTTAGGTCAGATTAGGAGGGGAGAGAGAAGGGGTGCCTGTCCATAAGAGAAAGAAAGGCAAATCAAATCCTATATAGATGAGTCAGGGAGCCCTGTCCCCACTGCAAAGACAGAGAAACCAAGATGCAGAGAGAGAAAGGTCCTTCCTCAAAGCCTGATGCTGAGCCTGACGGACAGCCATCCTTGGAACTTAGGCTTCTTGCGGCCAAACTAGGGCTGGCTCCAGATTCATAAAGAACCTGCCCTTCTGGGCTCAAAGGTCTTGCCAGATCAAGCCCCAACTCTTCCTGGGCCCACCCTCAGGAAGCACTTCCTGGCATTCCAGAACCAGGTGAATAAGCCTCTGTGTTCTCCATCTTCCCCCACCCGCCTCTCTGCCAGGCCCGATTAGGCTGCCTACTCCAGTGGCCCAAGCTCCTTTCTCTCTTCAAGGGCCAGGGATCTCCCAGGGGAGTTGGAAGTGGCCCTGGTGACAGCCAAATCAAACACGTTTCTCGGATCATCCCCAAATGGACTGTAATCCCCAGAGGCCCCAGAAGGGGAGCAACTTCCCCACCCAGTCCGAACCCTGATTCTGTGCTTATAGCATCACCAGCCCCCTCCCTGAAGCCAGCGGCTCTAGATCCCTCAGGAACCACTGGGATGCCCAAACTGAAGACCAGATCCTCCGGGAATGAACAGGCACTGCCCAAGGCAGGGGGTGGGTAAAGAGGCTGGAGGAATGGTCTCTTCCACAGCTTGGAGGTATGCCTGGCTTCTCTTTTAGCTGTGTGACCTTGGACAAGCCATCTAACCACTCTGGGCCTTTTCCCACAGCTGTGCAACATGAAGATCATGTGGTTTAGATTACTAATAAGGCCATTCCAACATGGCCATTTTACTTCTCTGGGCCTCAGGACAGGGAGCTCACTACCTGAAGGGCAGCTGTTGAGCCCCAGTCAGCTCTTAACTTCTTCAGAGGGACTACTCAGCTGGCTACCGCTTTCTTAGGAGTACCCCTACCTAATCTCCAAAGGTCCCAGAGATCTTCTCAGCCTCCAGCACCTTCTGAGTCTGAGGCACCCTGAACAGCACTTGATACACTTGATATACATTGTTTCTTGTAACCCTGACTATAATTCTATGAGGTAGGCCCTGTAGCCTGTGTGTATTTCCATTTTACAGTAGAGGAAACTGAGGCTGAGGGAGGTTTAAAAGACTTGCCCAAGGTCACAGGCTAATAATTGGCAGAGGTGGGATTTGAAATTACTTTATGGGGTTCCAGGGCTCCCCCACACCTCCATCCCCGGCACCTAAAGAGAAATCCCAACCAGCGGTCCCTGTGAAGTGAAGCGAGAGCTCAACCAATGCACACCTAACCACTCTACGGGGGATCAGAGAGTGGGGGAAGGGTTAGTTCAGAAGTCGGCACAGCAGAAGATCCTGGGCAGGCACCAGCACCGCCAGAACGTGGGGCTGGGCCTTGAAGAGGCCGGACCGCGCGGCGGAGCTCCCCCAAGTGGGGTTGCCCGGCAGTCCGGCACACCCATCCCCATACTCACCCAGGATGTAGCGGCGAGGAGGCCGCGCTAGCGCAGACCGGGCGCTGGGGGAACCCGAGGGGAGCCCAGGCCCAGCCCCCCGGCAAGCGGCGGGGGGGTGGGGGGGAAGAGGGCGGGCGGGAGCGGGAACGGCGGGGGCGGGGCCAGCGCGCTTGGCGAGGAAACTGCGCCCAGATCCTCCGTTGGCCCCTCCCCCTCCCCACCTCTGCGGACCTGGACCCTTGATCCGGCCTCCCCTGGTGCCATGTCTCTCCAGCTCTCTTAGTCGGCCCCACTAATTCCCGCTGCGTGGGGGCAGCCGGAAGAGCCCTGGACCCCAGGGTTTGACACGTTGGATAAGCCACCTTGTCACCTTACCTCTCAGCTGTGTTCCATCACCTGTTGGAAGAACATAAAATTAATTCAACAGGGCTCCGAATTCCCTCATTTCCTAACCTCAGTCCCTCCTGCCCACGCCCCCATTCTAGCCGAATTATCAGCCTCGCCCTTCTGAAACATTACAATAGTTTTGCTCCAGCCTCAGCGCCCGTCCCCCTAACTTTGCCCCCCAGAGCCGATTCGAGCAAAGGGAAGAGAACCTTTCCGGTAGAGAGATCAGAGAGGCCCACCCCAAAAGCTCTGGGCCAGAGCTGTTCCCGCCTTTGATCAGGAGAGGGCGCCCTGTCCTGTCCGATATAACAGAGCAAGGCTCTCCTCCACCCCCCATTCCCACTCCTCCCGGGTCTCTCCCCGCCAAGAGAGGGTTGATCCCCAGGAACCCGACGAGGGCACCTGCAGGGGGTGAAGGACCTCTGAGCTAGACATGGTCACCATCACATTTTCCTATTTAAATCCCCACGGTAATAATTAGCATATTTTGAGCACCCTCTGTCTTTCAGGGACTTTTTTTACTTTTTATGCATTATCCCATTTGCGCCTGGGTGGTTCATTCGTTAAGCATTTGCCTTCGGCTTAGGTCATGATTCCAGGGTCCTGCGATGGAGCCCCACATCGAGCCCCCCATGGGCTCCCTGCTCCCTGGGAAGCCTGCTTCTCCCTCTCCCGCTCCCCCAGGCTTGTGTTCCCTCTCTCGCTGTGTCTCTCTCTGTCAAATAAATAAATAAAATCTTAAAAAAAAACCCATGAGGTAGATACTATTAATATCCTCACTTTACCAATGGAAAACAGAAAAGGTGTGTTACCTATTCACACAGTTCTAAATGTCAGAACCAGGATCGGGGCCTGACACCTGAGGCCATTCTCTTAATCCCTATACGGTTGACCCTGGAACAACAGGAGTTTGAACAGCACAGGTCCACCTTATATGTGGATTTTTTTTTTTTTTTTTTGGTACAGCACAGTATTGTAAATGTATTTTCTTTTCCTTATGACTTTTTTTTATAAAGTGTAATTCCATTTTTTTTATTTTATTATTTATTCATGAGAGACAGAGGGAGGGAGAGAGAGAGAGAGAGAAGCAGAGGGAGAAGCAGGCTCCCAAGGAGAAGGGAGCCCGATGCGGGACTCGATACCAGGACCCCGGGATCATGACCTGAGCCGAAGGCAGACACCCAACCACCTGAGCCACCCAGGTGCCCTCCTTATGACTTTCTTTAAAATATATATATATATTTTTTAAAGTAGGCTCCACACATGGGGCGCCTGGGTGGCTCAGTCATTAAGCGTCTGCCTTCGGCTCAGGTCATGATCCCAGGGTCCTGGGATCAAGCCCCGCATCAGGCTCCCGGCTTGGGGGGAAGCCTGCTTCTCCCTCTCCCACTCCCCCTGCTTGTGTTCCCTCTCTCGCTGTGTCTCTCTCTGTCAAATAAATAAATAAAATCTTAAAAAAATAAATAAATAAATAAAATAAACTAGGCTCCACATGCAACATGGGGCTCAAACTCAAGGCCTCAAGATCAAGAGCCACATGCTCTACTGACTGAGCCAGCTAGGCACCCTGTCTTCCTTATGATTTTTTTTTTACTCTCTTTTTTAATTTTTATTATGTTTCGTAAATCACCATACATTACATCATTAGTTTTTGATGTAGTGTTCCATGATTGTTTGCATATAACACCCAGTGCTCCATTCAGTACGTGCCCTTCTTTATGATTTTCTTAGTAACATGTTCTTTTCTCTAGCTTACTTTATTGTAAGAATACAGTATATGAAACATGTAACATACAAAATATGTGTTAATCGACAGTTTGTTATCAGTAAGGCTTCGGTCAACAGTAGGCTATTTGTAGTAAAGTTCTGGAGGAGTCAAAAGTTATACATGGATTTTTGACTGTGCCAGGGTTCAGCACTCCTCACCGCTGTGTTGTTCAAGAGTCGACTGTATAGGCGCGCCTGGGTGGCTGAGTCGGTTGGGCATCCGCCTTCGGCCCAGGTCGTGGTCTCAGGGACATGGGATCTGGCCTGCATCAGGCTCTCTGCTCAGCGGGGAGTCTGCCTCTCCCTCTCTCTCTCTCTCAAATAAATGAATAAAATCTTAAAAAAAGGAGTCAACTTATAATGTTAACCCCACAAGGTAGCTATAATCACCACTGTGGGGATACAGAGGCTAGGACATGATGAACTTACCAGAGCTCTTTTTCATGCATTCACTCTTCTTCATTCACTCAGCTTAGGCCCTCTCTGTGGCTGGCCCTAGCTGGGCAATGGTGCGGACCCAGAGATATCTCACTCCTGGGGGCTCCAAGTCTGGAGGGGCGATGTCTTTTTTTTTTTTTTTTTTTTAGATTTTACTTATTTACTTGTGGGGCGGGGAGCACAAGCAGGGGGAGCACAACACAGAGGGAGAAGCAGGCTCCCCGCTGAACAAGGAGCCTGATGAGGGACTCAATCCCAGGACCCTGGGATCATGACCTGAGCCAAAGGCAGACGCTTAACCGCCTGAGCCACCAGGCGTCCCTGGAGGGGCGATGCCTTATTCTAAAAACTTTTGTCGACTTTGAACTCACCTTCATCCTGTCCTTTAAGGCCCCAGGACAAATGAACAATTAGTAAAACTTTACTGAAAGAACCACCTCTTTTTAGTTTCATTAACTAGATGTAGGTTTCCTACCTTAGGGTTTCGTGTCATCCCTTTTTGTCTAGCTCCAACCCACAGATGCCTGCTCCTGACCTTTATTCTGTCTTGACACCTGGTCTGTTCCTTTGGCTCTAAATACCATTCCCTGAGGCTGGGTCCCTTCTCTCTGCCGCTAGACTACCCCCAAGCCTGAAACTCGAGGTGCATTAATCTTGCCTTTAATTCTTCGGTGACTGGGGCAATTCACCATACAGTTCTGAATCTCGGTTTCTTCATCTGTAAGATGGTTTTAGGAATATCCACAGCACAGGGTTGCTGTGAGAATTAAATGAAGTAAAAGAGCAGTGTGCCAGGCCTGCAGAAGATACTCACTACATCATGGCTCTTAGGACCCGATGTGGAAGCTACAGCCTGAACTCTCCTGACTGAGCCTTTTCCGAACCGTGTGACCACAGCTGTCACTGACCCTCTCTGAATCCGTTTATTCCACTGCCAGTTCAAAAGCCTATCACCTACCTTGATTTATATGAGGAAAAGTAGAAGAGAAGAATGAGTTCTTACTAGGTGCCAGGAACTTTCTGTACACTTACTTTTTTTTTTTTTTAAAGATTTTATTTATTTATTCATGAAAGACAGAGAGAGAGAGAGAGAGGCAGAGGGAGAAGCAGGCTCCCAAGAAGCAGGGAGCCCGACGCGGGACTTGATCCCAGGACCCTGGGACTCCGACCCGAGCCGAAGGCAGACGCTCAACCATCTGAGCCACCCAGGCGCCCTTCTGTACACTTTCTAATTTGATCCTCTTAATAATCCGGTGAGGTAAATTTGATGGAATCTATTGTACCGATAAAGAAGTTGAACAATCATCTAAGCCTCCAGTCTCGCCTTCATTCAGCGGGCACTCAGTGTTTGCCTAATGGGCATTTGCCCATTGTCCGAGTAGGGGCTGCTGCTGTTGAAGCCTTCTAGTGTCTCCTGTCCTCCTGGTTGGTTTGCCTGGGGCCTGGACATACCCCAAAGAGGCCTGTGCCTAAAACGGCACCACCACTTTCCAGCTCTGGCCACATCACTGCTCCACTCCCCCTGTCCACACACACATACCAGATACCCCAAAGCTGACCAATCATTTATTTACAGGGATGTTCCAGCCCCCAGTAGCATGGGGACAGTGTAGAGGTGGGAAGTGGAAGAGAAGTGAATGTAGAATGCAGTTGTCAAGGAAAGCTCCCTGTGGATCTCCTTCACTGGCCTCCTTGCCCTTCTAGCTCTTCATCATCCTCCACTTACAGCCACATAGGCTCTTGAAACGCAGATCTGATCATGTGCCTCCCTTGCTGCAAACTTTAGTAACTCCCTACGGCTTTTAGGATCAAGAGCAAATTCCTTAGTGTGGTATTCAACTGTCCTTCATAATCTGGTCATCCTCTACTCTAGCAAACAAATATCTTACATTCTAGCTACACTCACTTCTTCCATGAGCTTTGCTCAACTTCCTCCTCTCTCCCTAGGCACCATGATTTGCCCACCTCCCCACTCCACAGGAAGCTTTAGAAGTCCATCACACCTTTATTAGCACTGACCGCAATGTAGTGAAATCATTTGTTACGTGTCTGTTTCCCCCACCTTCCTGGGAGCTCATTTAAGGATGGAACCCTCACCCGTTTCATTTATTTCTGAATCTCTCAGCTTGGGCCAGGGACAGACACAGTAGGAGCCCAGAAAATATTTATTGGGTTGATTTACTTGAACTGGGTTTTGAAGGATGGGCAGGATTTAGATATATCAAGAAGAGATTTACAAACTGTAAGAAAAGTCTTTGAGGAAAGACTGTTGTTGTAGGGGGTAGAGGCAGAGTAGCATGGCTGGGGGTAAGTAAAGAGGGAGGGACACAGTGCTAAAGACATCCAGTTTCAGGCCAAAATCTGCCCCTGCCTCCTAGGCAGCCGCAGGAAAGTCTTCCAAGGTTGAGGTGGAATTGTTCTGTGTTCTTTCTAGAGATCTTTCTCACTGTAGAGACATCTTTCTTGGATGGCTTCAAACTACCCACCCCAGGCTCACCCATCTTGCCCTAGGCCTGTTCTGCCTCAAAGTGTAATAAATCTTCACCTTATTCTGTTCTTCATTGTTCAACTTTCTTTGGATCAACTTTCTAGGATGAAGTCCCAGTTTTTACCTCTGGATATACTGAGCACTTTCCTGGTCCTACATCTTTGTTCTTTCTGTTCATCTGGCCTGGGATACTTCTTTTTCTCCATCTCAGCAAACTGTACTCTGCCTATAAAGGCATTAATTAGCGTCACGCTTAGGAATGCATGTGGTAACTTCTAGAGAGATGACAAAATAATATAAGAAGAGGATTTAATTTCTAAACTGGTACAGGAGGAAAAACGAAATAATCCAAAGAATGTTAAGAAAGCAGAGATTTAAATGGAAAATAAGCAATTGGAAAGATGGTCAACATCATTAGTCTTTAGGGAAATGTTTATGAAAACCACAATGAGATGTCACTTCATAGCCCCTCGGATAGCTATAATAATAATAATGAAAGGAAAATAGCAAGTGTTGGCAAGGACATGGAGAAATTGGAACCCTCATCTACTATTAGCGGGAATGTAAAAGAGTGCAGCCACTTTGGGGAACAGTCTGGCAGTTCCTCAAAAAGTTAAACATAGAGTTACCATAGGACCCCAAAAATCCACTCCTAGGTATAAACACGAGAGAATTGAAAACATACGTCCACACAAGAACTTGTACACAAGTGTCCATAATAGTATGATTCATAGTAGCCACAAGGTAGAAATTCAAATGTCATCCAACTTTTGGATGTATAAATGAAATGTGGCTTATCCATAAAATGGAATGTTATTCTACCATAAAATGCAATGAAGTTCCAATAAGTGCTACAACATGGATGAACCTTGAAAACATTATGTGAAGTGAAAGAAGTCAGGCACAAAGGCCACATGTTGTATGATTCCATTTATAGGAGATGTCCAGATAGGCAAATTCATTGAGACAGAAAGTAGAATAGTGGTTGCCAGGGACGGGGGGAAGGGAGAGATGTGGAATGACTGCTAATGGTCTGGGGTTTCTTTTTTGGGCTTATGAAAATCTTCTGGAATTAGATAGTAGTGATAGTTGCCCAACTTTGTGAATATAGTTGACCCTTGAACAATACAGGTGTTAGGGGTGCTAACCCCCCAAAGTCCAAAATCCAAGTATAACTTTTGACTCCCCAAAACCTTAACTACTAAGAGCCTACTGTTGACCAGAAGCCCTAACACATATTTTGTATGTCATATGTATTATATACTGTAGTCTTACAATAAAATAAACTGGAGAAAAGAATACATTACTAAGAAAATCATAAAGGAGAGAAAATACATTTACAGTACTGTACTGTATTTATTGAAAAAAATTCTCTTATAAGTGGACCTACCCAATTATATGCTATTTATAAAGATCATCCTTCCGTAATCAAGTTGTAGGAAAAGAAGAAGGAAATCAACATTTACTGGGTGCTTACTATGTGTCAAACATGCGCACAGTCCTTTGCAAATTCCCTTATTTGACCTTTACAACAACCTTACAACATGGGAATTTTGGTGCCCATTTTATAGACAAGAAAGCTGGGTCACAGAACAGTTCAATAATTTGTGCAAGGTCTAAAAAGTAGTGAGACTGGTACTTGAACTTAGCTGTTTGACTCCAATTCTGCCACTCTTTCCAATGTACCACATAAGAAATCTAGACCATCATTCTGAAAGGAAGTCTCTTGCCCTTCCTTGATTCTGTGGTCCGTAAGGGTCCTGTCTCCTCCCTGAGCACCAATGCTTCAAAGCTGCATAGGGTGAGTTCTCAGAGTATGTTTGTGAGAGACTGTGGGCTCCTAGGACAGACTTTCCTTTGCTTTGCCTCTCTTGGCCAGAGCAGAGTGTTGAGCTGTGGACCTCTCTGGGCTCCTGATGCCCAGGAGAGGGCTTGGTTCAGCAAGCTTTTGTGAGCATGCACCAAACTCCTTTTCTTTAGAGGGGAAGAAGGGAGATGATGATAATCAAAGGGGTTCAGGGGTGCCTGGGTGGCTCAGTTGGTTAAGCAACTGCCTTTGGCTCAGGTCATGATCCCAGGGTCCTGGGATCGAGCCCCACATTGGGCTCCCTGCTCCTTGGGGAGCCTGCTTCTCCCTTTCCCTCTGCCTGCCGCTCCCCCTCTTGTGCTCTCTCTGTCAAATAAATAAAATGTTAAAAAACAACAACAATAACACAAAGGGGTGTTATGTGAATTGGGCAGAGTAAGAGTATGTGGTCCACAAAGTCCTTCCTAGGGCAGAAGTACCTGGGAATGACAAGCTTGTGGGCCACATGCCTACCAGAGAACCTAATGAGAAGTCCTCCTATGTAGAAATCACCAGAGTTATAGGAAATTTCTCCCTGTGGCACCCCTCATCCAATGTCTCTCCCTCCAGTCTTCCCACAAGTACGCATTATTTAAGGATCCCAGCTCCTATATACCCGCGAGTACTTTGGACTGAATGTATTTACTTATTCATTCATAACAAACTTCTGAGTCCCATTTCTGTGTCAGAATCAATGTCAGAATATTAAGAATGGGAACTCCTTGATATTTTATTTATTTATTTAATTTTTATTTTTGAGACAGTGTACACGCATGCGCGTGAGTGGGGGGCGGGAGGAGGGGCAGAGGGAGAGAGAGAATGTTAAGCAGGTTGTATGCTCAGTGTGGAGGCCGATTCAGGACTTGATCTCAAGACCCTGAGATCATGACCTGAGCTGAAATCAAGAGTCAGATGTTTAACTGACTGAGCCACCCAGGTGCCCCAGGAATTCCTTGACATTTTTAAAGAATAGGAAAAATTATCATTTATTGAGGGCTCACTGTATACTGGGTACCATACTAGATGCTTTATCTCGTTTAATTCTCTCAACAACCCTAAAATTACAGTTGTTACCCTCCTTTTACAGACAAGGAAACTGAATTCAGGTGTTAAGAAATTTGCCCAAGTTCACACAGCTAATAAATGGTTGGGCTCAGATTTAAACCCAGGGTTCACTGACTCAAAAGTCTCAACTTGTACTATTATTCTACTTAAGACAATAATTCACTCATTCATGGGTCAAACATTTAATGTGGACCTATACTGTTTGCCTGGCCTTAGGGACACCAGAATAAATAAGTAGCGGAGAGGCTTAATCATAGTTGGGTTTCAGGACTGGAGGGTGAGAAATCAAAGTTTCAGTAGGGCAGTGAGGAAGCTACAGTAAACTATCCCGGGAGAGCTAATGACTTTCTAATGTAGAACACAGGCAAGTGGAGGAAAGGAAGGGATGTTTGGATGCAGAAGTGGGGGGAAAGTGGCTGGAGTCAGATGTTTAAACTAGCTTTACTATTTGACCATCCATATATTTATTTATTTTTTCCTTTGAGCATCTACTGAGCACCTACAATGTACCAGATTTCTCCTATCCATTATCTTATTTCATCTTTACAACCATTCCACTTTTTGACAAATTAGTCAATTATTTCTAATCCCTTGCTACCGTCCAACACTCAGAGGGATTTAAATTCATCTACTTTTGGGCAGAGCCCATTTCAGTTTTGTACTGATGTTCCAGGAGAAGGTGGTGGTGGAGAGGTAGCCTGAATAGGTTTTGCTTTCTGAGCATAGTCCCTGCTATTGCGTGTGGGACCCTCAGTCACTAGGTCTATTTTCTAGAACATGCTCAACCTTCCCGCCCTGTAATATCAAGTGGGGGAGGGAGAAGAAACCCAAATGAGTAAGATGCAGCTCTGACTTCTAAGAGCCTGGGCACAGAAGACAGAAAGGTAAATAACAGGATACAAAGTGACAAGGCTGTAACAGAAGCCTGCCCAAGCATTAGCCCAACTCTCTCAGAGAGATCCGGTAATGTATCCCAGAGAAGGTGGGAATATTTGAACCAGGCCTTTAAGAATAAATAGGAGTTCCTAAAGTGCAGGTGGTTAAGAAATTGCAAGAATCCTCATTTGTAACATAGCCTACGCTGAGCCATTTCCTTAGGGCATGCTTATAGCGTCTATTCTAGGGATTCAGAGACGGAAAGGTTGTGATGGGGCCGGCATGGGTTGGGAAACCAGGAGGCCAGGTTTTGGGGCCTCAGAGCAGCTGCAGGCAAGCCACTCAGAGAGACCTCCCAGGAGGGCCCTCCAGCTCCGCACGTGGTCTGGCCAGGAAGTGCGGGCAGGACTACGGGGAAGCCTTCCCATCACCGCCCGCGGACTGGGGCTAGGAAAGGGTAGAATAGTTACCATGCCATCCTGGAGCCTCCCTTCTGATTGGCCCGAGTTTCAGCAGCCCGACTGTCTCGGCTCCAAGGCAGGGGGCGGAGCCTGGGTATAGCGTCACCACCTTTCTCCCACACCCCGCCCAGTGCACCCCAACGCAGCCACTCACAAGCCCACTTCTAGGGGGCCCTGTATGACATCACGACTCTCCCCCAGCCAATCGCGGCAGAGAGGGGCGAGACTCCATGTCCCTCCCACCGCCCCACCCCTTTCCTCTCCGTAACTCCTTATGTCCCTCCTCTTCCCCCTCTCCCCTTCTCCCAAAGACCGCCCACACGTTCGGTTTCAAAAGACTCGTTGCCCAATGAATAACAGGGCGGGCTTAGAGTGGCGGAGGCGTCTGCCAATGCGCAGACAGCGAAGGCGGAGCGCCCGGAGCGAGCCTCTGACGGCGGGCGGCGTGTGACGCAGTCGGGCCCTGTGCGCGCTGCGCCCGAAGCGGCAGTCGGTGGCGGTGGTGGTAGCGGCGGCGACGGTTTCGTGGCGGCCGCGCGCTGCTCTCTGAGCGGCGGGTGGCGGACGGGCCTAGGCCTTCACTCCTGACACTTCCCTTCCCCTGCCACACCGCGGTAAGTCGGGAACCCAGGCGGTGGCGGCCCCGGACCGACAGGCTCCTCCTCCCCTCAGGGCGGGCGGGTGCGCTGGGCGTCCCAGGCCCTCCGCGCGGAAGTCTCGCGCCCCGGCGCGCACCTTCTGCCCTGAGGGAGGGGGCGGGGCCCGCGACCCTGCGGCCCCGAGGCTGGGCTCTTGGGCGATGGGAGAGAATCGAGATCCATGGAGTCTGTGCCCCGGGGTCTGCCCTGGCAGCCTACGCGGAGGGAGCGTCTGTGTAATCTGTTGGTACTCATTCGTTTGCCCGCGGTGATGAGGTGAGAGGGCCCTTTGCGGGGGCAGCGTCTCAGGACCCTGAGTAGAGTCTCCGTAGCACTTCTTGACCATCGTGCTGGATGAGCTTTAATTTGCCTTTGGCGTCTCCACGGGGGAAATTTGCAGCCCGAGGTTTAGGGTGGGTGGGTCGGGAGTTTGTTAGCTTTTTTAAAAATAATATCTGAGAATTAAGGTCGGTTTAGTGGAGTAAAAGGTTATTTTCTGTCTTTCCACGTGTTCCATGTAAAACTAGATGAGGAGAAAGATGGGATTTCTGGATTACTATAGCCATAGAGACCTTAGAAATTAAGCTAATCCTCCTACCGTACATCACGTGCAAGTTTTATAGATGGAGAAACTGAGGTCCAGAGAACGGACAGGATTAGCCAATACCAGATGTGACTCAGTCTAGGAATTTTTCTCCTGTATCACCCTCCCTGGGTGTTCCAGCCTCCCATTATTTGAAGGTTCTCTCTGGAGTTTGGGAGGCGAGGAGCATTCGGTAGTTAGAAGCAGTCTTCGATAGCGTTTCCGATCTGGTTGGTACCACTTCTGTTTGTGTAAAGGCAGAAGCTTCATTTGCGGTACCGTAACCTAAACCGTGAGAACTAAAAAGTTGGCTGAAGAAAGTGATGTAAATGTATTGGAAACGAATCCATAAGACTACATGTCTGGCTAATTTCCTATTCCAAATCTGAAATTTTTATTTGTGTCAGCTGCTGGGGACTCAGAAGAAAGAATCCAGTTCGTGACTCATAACAGTATTGGAATAGGAAGCAGGAAATACAGACAAAACTTAGGAAGATAGGCAGCGGTAATTTTGTGGTTCTTATACCTTGGAACTCATGGCTCCTTTGGTAGTGATTTCAAACTATTGTAGTAGGATCAGGTGAGAAAGGGAAACTATGGAAGAAGAAACTAACTGGAAGAAAGAAAAGAGCAGTGATCATTCTCTGTGACAGTCTTATAAATTCAGAAGTGCTTGTTAACTGGGTGACGGATGATATGTTTACTTGGTGGAAGAAGTTAGGATATTAAAAAACAAAACCAGAACTTGGACAAATTGGAGGTACTGGGAAATACTTTGATAGAATTATTTTTTCATTCTTAAGATTTGAGGAAATTGAATTAAAAAGTTGCCACTTTGATCTGTTCATACTGGTCAGATCGTCACTTTGTTCTTGTTTAGATGACAAAGCAAAAACTGAAAACTAGTGTGGTAAGAGCAGAAGAGTACGTACAAAACAGAGATGTGAACAGAGTATATTTTCTGTGACATTTTCTCAGTTCAAGCATCACCCTCTTCTGGGAAGCCTTTCTTGGCATTCTGTCTCCTGCAAGCTTCCATAACACTTATTTGATACTTCTATTTATAGCACAAATCATTTTGTATTTTAGCTGTTTATCTTATTAGGCTGTGGTAAAATATATTTGTCTTATCTTTTTTAAAGATTTATTTATTGGGCGCCTGGGTGGCTCAGTTGGTTAAGCGACTGCCTTTGGCTCAGGTCATGATCCTGGAGTCCAGGGATCGAGTCCCACATCGGGCTTCCTGCTCAGCAGGGAGTCTGCTTCTCCCTCTGACCCTCTTCCCTCTCGTGCTCTTTATCTCTCATTCTCTCTCTCTCAAATAAATAAATAAAATCTAAAAAAAAAAAAGATTTATTTATTTATTTTAGAAAGAGGGAAAGAGAGGGAAGGAGGGAAAGGGAGTGAGAGAATCCAAGCCGACTCCCTGCTGGTGCGGAGCCATGTGGGGCTCAGTCTCACAATCCTGAGATCATGACCTTAGCCGAAATCAAGAGTTGGATGCTTAACTGACTAGCCTCCCAGGTGCCTCTGTCTTATCTTTGTATTCAGATTGCTTGGCACATAGTAGGCATTCAGTGTTTACTTGAAGGAATAAACAAATATGGAACAGCTAAACCTAAAAATAGTCTGTAAAAAGACTGGGTATATGTGTGCTCCGGAAAAACAGGGCCTCGATAAGAGGACTCATACCGTTCATACATTACATGGTACTTCGGTACCTGACTTTATTCATGTCTACTAGCTCCTAGATAGCTAAGAGCAAATAGAACTTTTAGGGAACCAAATTCACAGCTTGGAAGAAATTGGGTATATTATTTTATTTTGGTATTTTTATTGTAGCAATTAACCTAAGGGATACAAGTTGTGATGTTTAATTTCTAACAGAGTGCACATCTGTAATTATGCAATTTGTCAAAAGATTAGGGGACTAAGAAGTTTTAGGAGATTTAACAACATAGGTAGTAGAGGTAAGGTATGTATACAGCGTTTCTTGAGAATTTGGTGCATTTCTTTGGGTTTGGAATTGAACCTAAGTATTTGGCATAGCATGTCTCTAGAGAGGATTTTTCAGCCTCTGCACTGTTGACATTTTGGGCCAGATAATTCTTTTTGTCTGGGAGCTATGTTTTGTATTGTAGGGTGTTCAGCAGCGTTCCCCACCTCTACCCATTACATATCCATAACACCCCCTCCCCGAGTTGTGACGATTAGGAAGGTCTCCAAATGTTGTCATATGTCCACTGGGAGGCAAAATTGCTCTGATTGAGAGATCACTGCTTTTGAGAAAACATTACCAATATTTCAGTAACGTCATAACTTTATCTTGCCTGGTGTATGCTTGTAAAGTCAGCTAATAAATTGCATCTTTTTTTTTCCCCAAGATTTTATTTATTTATTTGACAGAAGTGGGGGGAGAGCAAGCACAAGCGGGGGAGCCGCAAGCAGAGGGAGAAGCAGGCTCCCTGCTGAGCAAGGAGCTGGATGTGGGGCTCGATTCCAGGACCCTGGGATCACGACCCAAGCCGAAGGCAGCCGCTTAACCGACTGAGTCACCCAGGTGCCCCTAATAAATTGCATCTTGATAAAATGTCCTTGAAAAACCCTTAAGTTATCAAAATCTGGAATTGTTTCAGGAAGCTGAAAAGCTAAGAGTCCTAGAGTCTCTTTATTTTTGTGGTAGCCTCCCTTTCTCTGGGATAGAAATCAAGGTCTTGTTTGAAAGGGGATAGGCCACTGGGAAAATAAAGCAATATCTATTTCTCTTTTTGTGGAAGAGGGCAAAAAGAGTTTGTAGTTGAATTGATGTAATTAAATGTGGTGCTGTGGGATTCCATTATCTTTCCATTTCACTGATACAGTTGTATGCATTGATGGGAGTCTTGTCCCATTTTACTGACACTGCGAATTGTCATATTGAAGAGTTTGTACTTAATTCAGCGTAATTGAAGTTTTGTAGTAGAGAAATAAAAATTATTAAAATACAGCTCTAATTAGCTAAGTCTGATACTAAGAGTGAGTTTAAGCTGGTGGGTAGTAGGGTAAATTGGAAGATGTGAAACTCGAGTTTGGCAGATAAATTAGAAAACTATAGCAATAGTCTAGTATAGCAGTTGTCAAAATTTGAGGTCTTGGGGCGCCTGGGTGGCTCAGTCGTTAAGCGTCTGCCTTTGGCTCAGGTCATGATTCCAGGTCCTGGGATTGAGCCCCGCATCGGGCTCCCTGCTTGGTGGGAAGCCTGCTTCTCCCTCTCCCACTCCCACTGCTTGTATTCCCTCTCTCGCTGTGTCTCTGTCAAATAAATAAATAAAATCTTTAAAAAAAATAAAAAATTTGAGGTCTTTGGACTCCTTTATACTTTTAAAAATTATTGAAGATTCCAGACAGCTTTTGTTATGTGGGTTATATCTACTCATATTTACTATACTAGAAATTAAAGTTTTAAAAGATAATATTGACTTAAAAAATAATAAACTCATTTGTTAATATAACAATTTTATGAAAAATTACTAAAATATTTAGTGACAAGGGTGGTGGCGTTTTACATGTTTGTAAATCTCTTTGATGTCTGGCTTAGTAGGAGATCACTGGATTTGCAGATCTTTTGCATTCACAGTAGATAAGTTGTTTTGGTTGAAGTATGGGAAGAAAATCCCAGCCTCATACAGGTAAGTAGATGGAAAAGAGGAATTTTTTTTTTTAAGATTTTATTTATTTATTTGACAGAGAGAGAGATAACCAGAGCAGGAACACAAGCAGGGGGAGTAGGAAAGGTGAGAAGCAGGCTTCCCGCGGAGCAGGGAACCCTATGCGATGCCGGGCTTGATCCCAGAACCCTGGGATCATGACCTGAGCCAAAGCAGATGCTTAACTGAATGAACGACTCAGGCGCCCCGAAAAGAGGAATGTTTTAATAACCTTTTCAAATAATTATAGATATTCTTCTTTGACACTACGCTCAAACGTTTCCTTCTTTTTTTTTTTTTAAAGATTTTATTTCTTTCTTTTGACAGAGAGAGACACAGCGAGAGAGGGAACACAAGCAGGGGGAGTGGGAGAGGGAGAAGCAGGCTTCCCGTGTAGCAGGGAGCCCGACGCGGGGCCCTGATCCCAGGACCCTGGGATCACGACCTGAGCCGAAGGCAGACGCTCAACGACTGAGCCACCAAGTCGCCCCTGAAGCCATATTCTTTTTTTTTTTTTTTAAGATTTTATTTATTTATTTGACAGAGATAGTGAGAGCAGGAACACAAGCAGTGGGAGAGGGAGAGCAGGCTTCCCGCCGAGGAGGGATCCCAATGTAGGACTCGATCCCAGAACCCTGGGATCATCACCTGAGCTGAAGGCAGGCGCCTGAAGCCATATTCTTGAACTTAGGCCGGTGTTACATTAA